TGTTTGTTTTTATTTGTGTGTTGCATATTTGTTGGTATGCCTGTGTGAATGTATATGCGTGTATGTGTGTGTGTGTGTGTGTGTTTGTGTTTGGGGAAGTTTATTTCGTTGCAATTTTATTCCCATGAAATTTGTGGCTCCGCACAAATTTTCAAGTCTTTTGTGGCTTACAAGGATTTCCTAACGAAATATGCACTGCGTGCTGTCGGGCTTAGCAGTTGCTGCAAAACTTTATGGCCCATACTTTTAAGAGGGATTGCCACCGGAATGACGCAAGTTGCCAGTTGGGGGAAAGGGGGGGAGGGGGAGTGGCTGCATTGCGAAATTAGCAACAAAAATAGCAACATTTGCCCTTGCACTTTGAACGACACTGTGCGTATACGTAATTTCTATTTCGTTACGCCCTTCGCACTAGCAAAAGCAATTTGGGTCAGTGCAGAGTCAAATGCGAATTGCGGTCGATAATAATTCGGAATTTCCCAAAGTGCACATCTTTTTATACGCTGTGAATTTCCCTTTTTTCTTTTTCGTATCTTGATTCGGCCTACTGGCACTTCCTTAAAGAACTTGGAGCACTTCCTTCCGGCTGCTAACAAATTTGATCACAATTTATTATATTAAGTAGCACAGGGTAAATAGAATTTGTGCAGTGCACTTTAAATCTTAAGCGTAATTTAATTTCCAATGCAAAGCAACAGTCGGGCGTACAACGCACCTGCCCAGTCGCCTGGACTGGGTACACCTGCTGGTGGGAGAAGACAGGTACGAGGCTGCCGGAAGGAGCACAGAGGCAAGCAGAGGGTTGCATATTAGCAGTTGGGACAGCTTCTTTCTATCCATTCCGATGCGCAACACTTGCTATGAGTTATTTATATATATATATAAACAAGCAGGAGTGCTGCAGCAGGCGCTGATAGACTATGAAATACCCTGTGTTGCTTTGGGCTTCTTGTTTTGATATTATGTTTTTATATTGAAATTGTACTAAATAAATTTGAGTATGTAAACGTATTAGTAAAAAACTTTGCAATATTCATATAATATTTCATAATTCATATATTTCATATAGTTTCAATATACACATTTGCTGTGGGCATTTACAAGGTATATTAAATGCTCAAGCATTCAGAACGCATTAGCGTGAATGTTCATAACTGTCGTTCTCTGCAAGAATGTATGTGTTAGTGTGCGTGTGTGTGTGTGAATATGGGTAGGTGAATTCATCTGGCAGCCACTACGACTCGGACGGTGCCTCCGACTCTGACTCTGGCTCCGGCTCGGACGCCGGCTCTAAACTGTGCCTGTCTCTAATGCGTTGCGTACCTCAAGGCTCTGTTGGCGTAGCTCGCTAACGGTAACGGCCGCCATTTTAAACTCGTTTCGCATGCAGCAGTTTTTGCATTCTTATTTCATGCCCAACGTGAAAATGCCGCATGCTATAATGAAATGAAATGTAATTTGCATTTAAACACACACACACACACACACCCACACAGCCACCCACCCACACACATAAACGGCAGAAAAAAATGTTGAAAGGCATGCAGGACTCGTTGGGCTGGAGGGGCTGTTGGACGTGCGTGTCAGGCGGCGCATTTACATTTACACCGCTGAGCCTGAACCTGAGCCCAGGCCCAAGCCCAAGCCCGAGCCGGAGCCGGAGCCGGAGCCCACATGCATTTCATTTCATTAAAATTGCAAAAATACATTTAAACTGAAGTTGGTTACATTTTTTCTTTACATTTTTCACCCTTCGCCCATTGAGAAGCCAAAAGGGGTATAAGCAAGCGGTGCATGTGTTTGTGCCCGTGCCCAGCCTTGACTTGTGATATACAAATATAAAATCAGCGCACGGTAAATGGGCAATCTCTTGCATAATGAATGCGCAAGTTAATTAAAATTACAAAATTAATTAAAGGTGGGTATCTCCTAGCCGCACATAGCCAGCCGCAACCTTTTGGGTTTAGTTTCTGTTTTTGTAGCTGTGATCTTTACTTCTTTTTCATCATATTGACAGTTACAGTATTTGGTTTTTCATATTTTTTTCACTATGTTTTTTTGTGTACGTAACTTTCGTTTAATTAAGTTTTTATACGGAATATTTATGTGAAAATTTGTAGAGCTATGCGCTCAATGAAAATTCTGAGAAGAAAATGGAGAGTACGTATGGAATTTCCGATGAGCAACGAGCGTAATATTATTTAATTTTAATTACAAGCTGTTTGTAAATTTTAAATTTATATATTATTTTTTTATTTTTATTTTTTTCAATAAACATAAATGTGATTATACATTAATGTTAAAAAATATTGAAAAGTAATGGGTATTCGGAAAGTCGTCCTTGTTGTATTTATTTGCATATCATGTGTAGCCATAAAAAAGTTATTTTTAGCTAACGTTTTGTTGTTTCTTTAGCAATAGTCGTGACAATTTAGAATTTCATATTTTTTATTTTTATTTATTTTTTTTTTTTTTTTGCTGAAGTACGGTTGGTAGCTCTTAAAATGTGTATTGATTGGAACAATATAGTTATATTTATTTTGGATGGAATGTGTTCGCTGCACTCTACAATATGTTGTGCCATTTCAGAGATTCCGAAATCCCTTAATATAGTAAACTTTAAGATACTCTATATCAGATTTAATATAATATATATAATATAATTATCTATATGAATTTATTTAAATATATTTATTTATATGCATACATATAATATAGGTATATATATCTATTCCTAAGCCTATATATTTATTTTGTAGTGTAATATTCGGCTGTATAAACTTGGACTTGTTTTCCCTTGCCATTAAAGTGCAAACTATTATTTTTTAACGAACTAACGAACTCGGTTGATTGAACACCAGCAAAGCGTAAAACTGGCCGATGACATGGACAACAAGTAAAAGGATATACATATTTGTATATACATATATATTTACATTTACCATATAAATGGATTACGAGACGAGGTTTCGTGAATATTGCGGATAGCTCTAAAAATATTTGTCTTTTATTTGAACAAAAATGAAAAGCGAAGCTGCAGTAATTCGATTTGATGCCAAACAGAACACAAATAGTTGATGGTTTTTTAAGCCATCTGTAGGTCATAAATTCAGTTTGTGTAAATATTTGATTGTTTTATATATTGAGTTTGATTGATGTGGGAGCTGCTGTCGCCGGTCGACTCTAACCAATTAGGCGCACTTGTGAGAGCGTAATTGAATTATGTTTTCGGTCGGATCTTAATTTGTGATAATAGCCACTCCAGCCGTGACAGAAGAGGCTTGCCATCGCATCAGAGTAGTGCATGCGTATTAAATTGTTGAAATTACAAATGCTGAGCGCAATCGTGCTACCTGTCCAATGGAAATCGATAACTCACCTGTGGCCACCCGCACGTTCATATGCACAATTTAGACAATTATCGCTGTCGTCGATGAACAATGAATGACCTTCTTTGCTGCGTATTGAATAGCCAGCATTTCCTTTATATTCACCCAGCGAACGTAGCATTTAATCTTTGCTCCAGCTGTTTATTTGACAGCTATCGTAGTGAGCATAACGAATGTTTCCCTCAAGGTCATTCAGTTCTATGCAGAGCTCATGAGGTCGTTGGTTTGTTAACATGTGCAGCTCTTGAAGACCTATGAAAAAATAAACTCTGAAGTGGTTTTTTGTTTTGTATATCCTGAATCAATTAAAAATGGGGTATACGGGGTATAATGGTATAATGGTTTCGTTTTATTAATAATGTTTATGGAAGCCATACGAGGTACTCCATTAACCTCTTTATGAGCTTATGACTACACAGAGTAGTTAAGACTAAAGTCAGAAAATGTATCGAGCGGTCATTTGTCTTTGATTTGGCTTAATTTTTGTTTCTATTCGGCACAATTTTTTTCCTCAACTTATATAAATACAGCAAAATGAAGAAAATTTGATCTAAAGCAAAGCGATTTTATGATTTGTAATTCATTTACTATAACATTATAATATATAAAACGATATTATATGAATTGAAAATAGTGCCAAATATTCTGCTACATTATATAAGCTGAGCTCTCAAACTGTCTTAGCCCAAACACAAACCAGTTGGCTTATTTGGTCAACAACTTTAAGCGAAGCTCATAGCAGCTACAGCTTTGGAGTTGACTGTATTGCATACCTTATGGCTCATTAATTAATAATGAATAAATCGGGAGTGATGTGAGTTGGTATAACGTATAATTCAATTAAAATAAAATAAACTGTAAAGTGTCTAAATATATACCGTGGAATTCGGCTATAACGACACTCAAGGGACCGTCGTTATACCCGGAAGTCGTTACAACCGTATATGTTTGCTTAAAAGTTTGTCTGGGAATCAGAATTTTCGTCGCTATAACCGTACAGAAGCTTTAAGCGGAGTCTTTATAAGCGGATTCTACTGCAAAAGCAAATGTATAAGTAAAGAAATGTTGGATAGAAGAAGTTCCATATATGTGCGGAAGTGTGTTGTTTCATACTGAACTCAAACTAGCTGGCAGATATTCTAAAAAAAAAAATTAATTTGGCTATCACAAACTTCAGATTTTGAGTTCTGTTTTGGTCACAAGTACATCCAAAGTAATGGATCGCAATAAAATCATCGAGAATTTACATTTATAAATTTGCGAATCAAGTGCCAGCAAATTATGCATAAATGTTATAAATTAACGCTGGCATTGCTTTTTACATGTCTGGTATTTTACATATGACATTGTCGCCATATGAAGAAGATGCCCACATTACATGTCCCAGCCGTATATATGAATAAAATATTGATGTAGAATAGAGATAATTATGTGAACTGAATAGAAAGCAAAGTATTTTCAATTATCTATAAACGTTCTGTGACAATTGTAGAGCTGAGATTCTAAGATTATGGAAATATAAATGAAATATTAAAACGCAAAATACTCCTTAAAATTGTTCACAAAAATAAATAAAGAATATTCAAGTTTCCTTTAATAACTTCACTTATGTATTGTTGAAATGTTTATTTTACAAAACAAAATTCACAACTTAAACATAAATAAAGATCCACATCATTATTATCGAAGGTTTTTTTTTCAGCTTTCATCCAACATATACAAACTAAATTTGTTTAGGCCACTAAATAGCAAGTGTTTCGCGTTCTAGTTACGATGATACATTAATAGTGTGCCGCATAGGGACTAGTGTAGTGTCCATAGTGTCCTGCGTCGTACTGTGGCACATATTCGTATTGGGCCTGGTTGTAGTAGCTGCCGTCGTCGTAGTCGTAGTGGATGGGCGCAGCAGCGGGCGCGTATTGCTTGGTGACTGTAAAAAATAAAAGATATTATAAATATACCTACATATATATGTAATATGAAGCGAAAATAGCTACACTTAACGTTTGTATACAAAATGATTTGGCAGAAAAAGTAAAGCCATGCTCAGCAGCAGCAGCTGTTTGGCTCTTTAAATTTTTGCAGTTGCTGATCAAATTTGTATTTCAAACTAGTTCAGTTCAGCTGACGAAATAATTTCTCGGTTTGTCACGAATTCGTAGGCACCAAAGTCAATTGGTCACAGGTGTTGTTGTTGTTGTTTGTTGCCAGCTGAATTTCCTTTCAGGTATTTTGCATCCAACAGCCGAGGTTCGTTGCCTAAGTCTTTTGTGTTTTGCCAAAAGTCTTTTGCTTTTGTGTGCGAGTGCGCCCCGTATGATTCTTAAATATGAAAATGGCAGCCACAATCAAAATAATTTTCACATGCAGTCACAACAATAAAACCAACAACAACAACAATTCCCACGAGAATTCGCATTACGACATTGAGAAAAGATGTAGGCTTTTGGCTTGCAAATGAAAATGAAATGCTGAACATAATTTCCCGTACAACTCTTACACCTGCGCCCAAAGATGATGCGCTACTGTTTCTGCTGCTGCCACTGCCGCTGCTGCTGCTGCCGCTGCTGTTGCATCTGACATAATTAGTGTGGGAATATTGCGGAGAATATGAGAGCAAAACCGCAGCTAATCTCTTGATCAGAGTTGAGGAAAACGTACTCTCATGACATAATTAACATAAGGTGCAGGGGCGTGGCAGCTGTTGTTGCATTAGTCAACTAAATGCAGGTTTTGTAAATTAACATACATTTCACGATGCGATGATTCAGTTTACATGCCCCAACGCACACGCTCTCCAAACTAATTGCGAATGCGAAGTGAACTAAAGCGTTTTTAATAATAATTTTTCAAATATATATATGGTTATAGATGGTTAGATGTGTGTTATGTGTGTATGCATTGGTATATGTGATGAGAAACTGATTCAGTAGGCTGCATAATAATCGACATCGGTAATAGCCTCCGCATCAGCGTTGTCATCATAGACGTCTGGGCGTAATTTGCGATATTGATTGTTAAAATAGTTGGCGTGACGCCTGAACAGCTTGAGCATGCGATACGTGTTCATGCCTAGAAGACCAAAAGAGCAGCAAATCAGTGTGCAGAATGCGTCGACTGATGCATAGAGAGTGCTACCACAACAACAACCACAACAACAACAACAACTAACTGGATGTGCGTCTGAGGAACTATCCATAAGCCTGTACAACCGTTACGACTACGATGCTATAGATATAGGGATAGTTTGATGTCCGACTCGCACTTACCATAGGGCGCTGGCGAGGCGGCGACGATCACCGGCGCAGCCACTGGAGCCACATGTGGTTGGTAGTGGCTCAGAATCGGCTTGTGCGCCACAATGGGCTTGGTGACTAGCGCCTGGGCGTGCACAGTGGGTCCAGATTTGGTGACAACCGCGTTGAAGCCATGAATCGAGTCAGCTGTGTAGTCCACGGTGCGAATGGAGCCATCGGGCTCAACCAGAGAGTATTGACCTAAGGCAGAGAGATAGACGATGGCGATATGTTATGTGTGTTTGTGGGATGTATATATGTGTAGGTGTGTGTGTGTGTGTGAATTTACGGAGTGTAACTTACCCTTGACAACATCGCCATCGCGCGTCTCATGCTGTGACTTGACATCGCCTGTGCTGTGATCAGCAACGCCATAGTTAAAGGAATATTTGGGATGGTCCTGTAAAGTACATAAAATAATGTAAAATATTTATAAGCAAAATTTAAAATTTATATTTTTAAATTTAATATTCCAGACTTAGATTTTATATTTGATATTATTTATTACTAATTGAATTTATATAATATAATTTGAATAAAATCTAACTCTGGAATATACATAATATTCAAAAAATAAATATTTTTAGGTTCATTATTCATGATAGGAAATATTTAATTTGATTTTTTAACATTAAACTTTAACAAGTCTTATACAAATGCCATATGTACTTTTTGTAGCATAAATATTATATTATATTCGAATTTTTTTAACTATATTATGCATGTATATTCAATTAATTTAGTTTTCAAATTTTTCCACTGAACGATAGTGTCGATACAGCCCATAACTTTTTTAGTCTCTCACACACGGTTTCCATATCTAACACAAAAACACATAAATCTCGAACTCACATAGTAATCCACAGCATATCCAGGACGCGCCACGGCTACGCTGGCGAACAGAGCCAGGGAGAGGATAACAAAGCACACGAAATTTGCCATTTTCTGGAGATTTTTTGATATCGTATTGTCGATTGCGAATTCGTTTCGATAACTGGCTAAAAGTAAACAGACACAAAACGTTGATTTAGCGTAAGCACTTCACAGAGATCCTGAGATTTGAGGATTTACTTTTGGTACTGCAACGGCAACAGATACAAACAACGCCAAGTTCACCGGAATACTGTGGCTATTCTAGAGTCAAGTTGCCATTTAAATAAGCGCAAGAGCAGCGACGCAGCTGCGCAGCCAACTCTTCAAGACACTGGGCCTTTTCTCAGTCAGTCAGTCAACTGTAGCGATGTCGACGTCGCTGCCGCAGCCGCAGTCAACGTCGCTGGCGTGGTGAGTACGACGATTGCTTGGCGGGGGCCATGTGAATGAAGTTGCAGCATGAATCGGGATGTTGCTACACAAGAGTGGCTGAATGGGGTCGGGTTGTGCTATATGTAAGTAGTGCAAATTGGCGACAGACTCGGCCATAGATCTCGAGCGAGAGCTGCATTGTGAATACCTAGTAGTAGTGCCGCTCTCCGCTGTCAGTCACTGCAGCATTGTTGGTGTTATTAATCATAGATGTTGTCATTAACTCCGCAAGGCACAAACAAATGACTTGGCCCACAAGCTAGCCAGCTCCAATAATTGTGGCCCTAGACCAAAACAAATAGTGGCCAATAAAGCGCAATTTATTTAACAACTTAATTCAATAAAAAATATCTAGGCTATCTTAGCCAAGTTCAAGTCAATGTGAAACACACAAATGCAAATGCCTATAAGTGAAATTCTGACTGAAGAACCAGTCGCAATCCTCTCCTCTCTGTCTCTCTCCCTCCCATGTGACGCTAGCTACTCTTTTGTCTTAGCCATCAATGCCGAAGGTCAAGCGCGGATGACTGCCATTCTAGGCAACAAATGAAAGCAAAAGTAACGAAAATAGACGAAAAGCAAATATAACGATATGACACCAGAGCAATTTAAACTAATTTATATCTTGATCTATAATAACGCCGACCAGTGACTAGTGCTGACTCAATCAGTGATTAATTGACTGCTCCCCACTTCCACATAAACAATTATGTTAGATAACGCGCATTTTTATTACCGAGACTAGTTCTAATTGTTGGCCAGGTACAAGCGCAGGATTTGAAGCCGTTGCTTGGGTGTTCTTTGCACTTATTGTTCCCACGGGTTCCGGTCGTAATATATTGAATTAATTAAGTGAAAAAAGGTGTAAATTGTGTGGATGTAGACGAGTGAATACCCTAGAGTTTAGGTTAAGTGAAGAGAGACTCGACTGTACAGTGTACAGTTTCATTCAAGATATATAACCGAATTAAATAGAAAGTATATGTATGTATATATATGAAATAGAAAGTATATATATGTACTTTCTACTTCATTCGGTTATATATCTTGAATGAAAATACACAGTACAGTCGAGTCTCGATAATTTGAGCTCCTCTAAATCGAAAATCGCGATAAATTGAAACAAGTTCTATCCTCTTAAAACTTCGTTCTCAATAATTCTCGATAATTTAAATTTCTGTGTAGATAGAAAAAAAAACTGATTTCCTTTACATTTCGAATTATCGGGACTCGACTGTATGTATAACATATATTTGAGGAGAAATACTAACTGAAACAGTCTTTATAATAATTGAAATGTATATATGTATAAAGATTAAGTCTTGATTATTATAATGTAATAATTCATATTTCATTATAATATATATTATGAATATGTAGAATATAATATCCCACCCACGACATTTCCATAGTCGCCTAGCATAACACTTGAACTTTTATAGGGTATATTGACTGACCTATGTATCCGAACGTAGTTAGAGCATGTTTTTGTAGCACTTCAAGTCTGTATGTTTTTAATGCAAAATTGTTAATTGAGCAATTTGTCGTTATGAAGTGCATGAGAACTGAACAGAGAGTTTATATCAGCGCAAACCGATCAGGAATACGTATGCGTTTATCTAGTGATTTATTGCTAGCGGCCAATTCTCGCTTGAAGATAGCTGAGACAAATTTCAGCTTGGTCGGCTGAAGTCAAGTTCATCCTTGAACCACGCTGAGAACGTGCCAATTGAGGTTGGCGGCTGGCAAATTTATCTGAAATATTGACAAACCGCAAGACTCCCAGTCGCAATTGCAGCAGTTAAAAAAAAAAAAAAAAATAAAACAGCTAAAATCAGCAAAAAAACAAAAAGCAAATATAACAAAAGCGTTAGTCAAAACAATTTGTGTGGCCCACTATACAAGATGATAATGTGTGGTAGTTTATGTCTGGGTCAGCGTTACGGACTGCCCTTTTTCTCACAATTAAATACGACGGGGCGTACTAAAGACTTTAATTAGAGCAAGCTCCAAGTGCAGAGAATTACGCGAAAACTTACCAAAAAAATAAAAAAAAAATCAGAAAACGAAAAGAAAAAAACAAAATGAAAAATGAATAAAAAAACAAAAATTAACCTTCAGCACTTGCATACAATTGTCTCAATGCGCTACGCCTCCGTTTTTTCCTCACTCCGGGGCTTGAATTTCCAATTCGACTTCGGCCTGCGGTTTGTCGGCAGCTGAACAAAAAAAAAAAAAAAAAAAAAAAAAAAAAAACTAAAGCTAAATACTAGATTAAGACAATTTGCATGTTTGTGAGCGCCGCCAAAGCATTTGCTACGCAGACATGATAACTCGACTCTGGCCAAGACTCGGCTCCGCTCTCAAGGGGCTGGGAAAATCTCAAGCGATTGTCGGCATTTTCCGAAGGTTTTTCATATGTAGCTTGACAGATTTTTAGCCACATATGCGTGGCTTCCTCCAATACGGTTGGACAGCAGTAAATATGCCCAACTACCCAGAATGGAAACTATCATAATGTCTAAGCAGCTAAATAAATACATGGATACTGCTCATACATTCATATATGTTCATGTTAAATGTAGCGTGCAGCTAAACTTCAGGTTAATGACAAATCGTGGCAGCTGGGAGTGGAATTTAATATATGTAAAAATAGTTTATTTCTGTGCGAAAATAAATAAAACGTAGCACACACACATTTTACTCGGCTTTAAGCACTATAATTAAGTGAATCGTAAAAATATGAAATGTGATTTGTTCGTTTGGAATTGGATCATAAAAGATAATACGACATTAATATTAAAACGGAAAATGACAGAATGTGAATGCTTGTAGAATTCTAAAGTTGGAATTATGCTGTAGAACACTGAAAAGAATAGAGTAGTAAAATATAAATATATATACAATAAAACATGATATATATAGAGTTCATATGTATCATAAAAGTAAATTATGAATTTCGTAAAATATAAATATATATATACAATTAAACATAATAAATATATATATAGTTTATATGTATCATAAAAGTAAATTATGAATATCGTTTGCCTAATTTATATATATATAAGAGTCGCTGAATGGTGAGATTTGCTGGAATTGAGGCTTGACTGTTAGTAACAACGACTTTGACTTGGTTTACTTTGGTCACCTAATTTCGGTTTGTTTGCACAGACTAATTTCACAATGGGCAATGAGCATTGCTGGAGCATTGCTGGGTAGCATTGTCGCTTGCAACACGCGACAACTTCAAGGTGCAAATGTTGCAAGTCAGGTCGCGAAACGAGAGACAGAGAGTGAGAGAGAGAGAGAGAGAGGGAGAGATATGTATACAAGGTAGTTTGTGTGGGTGTGGGCGGGCATCATTGTTGTCGCTTAGTTGGGTATGCTTCAGTGCTTTGGAGACTACCGCATCTGCAGTCCGAGCCAATTGACTGGCCATTGTTAACAAGAGATGTTGCTCTGTAACGCGCCATGAAAATGACCCGTGGCAAATGCGGCCGCTGTAATAAAATGCAAATTAATGTGCTTCCAGACCCGAGGAGGTGCTATAAATTTTCTGTTGTTTAGCGTGTGCTCCAGAAAGAGATGGAAATGGATTCTCGCACCTTTTTGCCCAATTTGTTGCAGACTGTTGAGCTGCCGCTGTTACTACCACAACTACCACAACTACAACTACTAGTAGTGCCTGTCATGCATCAAATTAACCCTCAAATAATCCAGTTAGCTCTCGTTATATAATTGATGCTGACAGGCGGCATGCATAACTACAAAGATACACATCGCGGCCAGCCTCCAGTGAATCCGCGCAGCTCTGGAGCCGTTGCTGCTGCTGTTGAAATGTTTATTTATGCGCGGCAAAACACAAATCTCTTATACCTCTAATTATGTCTGCCCAGTTGCTTAGTGGCTTAGTGGTTCGACTATTCAGTCGCTCAATTGCTAAGTTGCTCATCTACTGGGCAATAGTTAATTATTAATGGCATTTTTCAATTACGCCGACAGATGCGGCGACATTTACATGGCACAGTGGCTCGCGAAAGTTAATGGCAACGAGCAGACATAGCACTAATACTATATAAGTGGACTTACACTAACACATATAATAATACTATTAATTGTACTTACACGAATATTTATAGCAATACTGATGCTAATACTAATACTCATTGTCAAAGTAATGCTGATTCTGATACCAATACTAAGTAATAGTAATAATAAGAGTAATACAACTATGAATGATAATACTAATTAATGATAGATAGTACCATTTCTCACAGTAATACTAATGATACTGATAACAAGTCATACTCATATTATTACTTATAGCATAGGGATCATTGGAGTACCATTGCAGTGGCTCAGAACTAACATGAATACTACAAAGTTGTACTTATACTAGTACAGATGCTAATACTTGTGATGCTAAGCTAATACTAATGCTCATTGTCAAAGTAATACAATCGCTTATATCAAGCCATACTAATACGATTAGTAATACCAAATAATATTGCTGATATCAAATCTTACTAATGCTAATGATGATACTAATACTAATAATAACACAAACATTAAGAATAATACCATACTAATTCTAACTAATGCCAATACTAATACTTATAGTAATACAATTATTAATGCTAATACTAATACTTATGGTAATACTAAAACGAATAATGAATATACTAATGCTAAACGAAAATAGCTAATAATTAATACCTATACCAATCTAAGTAATAATAACAATAATAATTCCACAGCCTATACCAATACTAATTACTAAGATCAATAACAACTAATGTATCAACAAATAAACCACTGTGCACTGTGCATTCTCGTCTCAAACGATGCCTCTTCAAAAGGTGGTCAGAGCTCTAAGAGCTTCAGTAGCCACAGCCGCAGTATGTGATTATCTATAAATTGTATCAACGACTCTGGCTGTCGATGCATATCTGAGACTTGTATCTTAATGGTACGCGACAGACTACCGACAAAACAAAACAAATCCAGTCCAGTCCAATCCAAGCACGTGTTGACGGGGGCAGGAGACGTTGAGATGTGAGGCAGCTCTACTTGAATGTCAACTACTCGCATCAATTGGCCAAGTGCAGCAAAAAGTAGTTAGCCACTGTCGTTTCAATGCTGAAGAAGACTTCAGCAATGTCGCATAGCTGATATTTCGCTCACATCTTTATTTTGTATGCTGCGAATGAAATGTGGCTATGAAAAGGTTATTGGAGCATCGGCTACCAGTTTTTGCTTACATTTTATATTAAATTTTTGCTGGTCACTGAGCCAGATGTTTGGCTGACTTACTTAGGCTTTACTTAAGCTTTGGGGTATCATGCATAAGTAAACACTGGGGCGTTGGGTTTGCCAGCTACCGGCTCTTCCTTCCGGCATTTCCTAGCAACGCGAAAAACCCAATTGAGATGACCTTAACTGTTAAAGAACCCGGCCAGAGGGCAGCTGCCACAACAACAGCCCGATCTCTCAGACGAGTCGCTGTCTAATTAATGGAGTGCACGTATAACTTATTTTAGGTATTTTTTGCTTTACTTTTTCCATGTATTCTTTTTGTGTTTTTAGCGCACATTTAAACGCTTCGCTGCTTTTTGATTTTCAGTCTATGATAAATACGTATTTTTGCGCCAGTTTTCAAGCGACTTGAGCTCTTTATTTTGTTTTTGTTTTTGTTTCTGCTTTTTTTTTTTTTTTTGTGTTTTTGTCCAAATATCTGCGTTCATTAAGAGATCAATATGTCGCTTTCTTGTTGCTGTGGGCTGCTCAGACATAAAAGTGACGGAAATGCGAAGATTTGTGGATGGCGGAAGCAACTAGCTCGGCTCGACTTTTTGTTTTAAATGTTCATAACTTCTGTTACTTACATAAAGTTTCGCCCACTCGGGAAAAAGAAACACAATTGGCTGCCATTAGATATTTGTTATCAAATATGAGCTGCTAAGTGGCAGCATTTATGTATCAAGTGCAAGTCTATTGGCAAGGTAATGGAGCTAGGTTGATCAAAATAAATATAATTGGATTAGTCTTTGAAATGCGCTTATTAATTTAGATTTTCCCATATTAAGTTGATTGATTAAATTGTAATGTTAACAGATGGCAGAGATATTATTTATGTGTTAAACATGAAAAAGGTAATTTCAGCTTTCATTAAAAATTTGGTTATATAAAAGTTTTGAAATATGGTTAGTCCTCATCTACTTTTTTATTTTATTTTTATATTTTTTTTATTATTATTTTATTAAGTGTAGAACCGGTACAACAACAAAAACAGGACCATAACAACACAGGGAGGTAAATTAATCAATGAGCCGAACCCCATACCGAGCTATGGGGATTTTAAGATGTGGAGGTTTTACTATTATCCAATTGTTATGGCAAACCCTAAAAAATTTAATTTATCAAGTACAAGTTTAAGTTATTAGCTAATCAAAGCCTGTCAATGTTCATAAGACATTTTGTTGAATAATAGAGCAATAATAAGCTCAGAGTGGTTCCTAAAAACTACTCCAAAAATTAAGAAATAAATATAATTAAATTTTTTGAAATGTGGAATGTAATTTACAAAATATAAAATCCACATTTTTACCTAAAAGTAGATTGTAAATAAATTTCAAATGTTGTCAGCCTAAAAGTATAATAGAGAAAATGTTTTATTTATATATTTTTTTTTTTTATTTATTTTATTTTTTTATTTTTTTTATTTAGTAAGAAATACATTTAGTACCAAAAAAAAAAAAAAAAACGCTTTGTGAACTTAGTATTAAAATTCTATCCATTTGTAACAATTAACTACATATATATACATTATTTGCAAATCAAAATTAATTTCTGCTACCATCAATTAATCTAGTCTTACCATACATATAAGGGTATAAGCAAAGATCTAAAAATGATAAGTACATATTACAAATATGCTTAAAGTAGTTCAACATATATAACTATTACTACTATATTTTTATTAATAATAATATTACTATTAATATTATTATTATTATTATTGTATTATAATCAGGGTAGCAACATTACTTTAATAGTGTTTATTGAAGCCATACGAGGGATTCCACTAACCCCTTTGTGAGCTTATTACTGATAAAAATATATTGAAACACAGCATAATATAATATATGTAGATTATTACAATTCTCATTAGAATTTTACTACTACTATATTTGTAAGAGGAGAGACAACTGTTATGGGAGTATAGGTAAGAGAAGTGCATTCTCAATTTATTCATGCATGTAAGAATAAACTTTTACGATCTATGCTTGATTCTAACTTTCAAAATGTTTACTAATAATACTAATACCCAGCTGGGTTTTTAGCTAACCCATAATTGTCAATCATATGATCATGATTGTGATCATGAGCTGGGCAATTATCATGTCTTAGCTATATAAATAAGTAATGCAAATTATGAACAATTAAAAACCAATTGCTTTCGCATAAATTAAATGCTGAGAACTATCTGAAGCTATAATTATGAGCTGTACACATCTTTAGAGATATATAGTCGTATCTGCTGGCAAAGTAAAAGTTGTTTAGTTTTGGTTTTCTGTAATTTACTACAGTTTATATTTATAGCAGTTTATATAACTTAAGTACTAGGCTGAAATTATGAGACATGTTACAAGATATAAATTCCCAATTTATATTTGTGTATGTACATTCCATGCGGAGTTCTTCTGTTCATCATCATCTACCATTTCATGATCATCTTTCGTTTATGCAATTACGTGGTTCGTGGTTTTGTGGGCGTGGCTTTGTTGATGGGCGTTTGTGTGTTGGCAGTATATACAATAAGAGAAGTTTAATGCTGTGTGTGAGTGTAAGTGAGACAGGGACGGTGCATGCGTGCGAGCGGGATGGATGCCATTTGATGGTTCCGTGTCCGTGCACTTGAGTGACTTGAGTATTGAGCAGGCGATGCTGGAGGCCAGGGCGCATTGGTTAAGTCGTCAACGTGTGTTTAATAAATATGAAGGAATAGGCATGACAAATGGGATGCGGAAGGGTGGGGGGCTGTATTAATGTTCCAAGCAGATTCCTTAGTAGTGGGCGACATGCGCATGAGCATTGTGGGTGGCGTAGCCGTAAGCGGGCACAGCAGCGGCATGATGTGCCACAGAGCCACCGTAAGCCACAGCTGGAGCGGCAGACACATGGTGAGCGATGGCTGGAGCGTGGGCCACCAAGGGCGCAGCATGGGCAACCAGAGGAGCAGCATGGACGGCGGGCGCAGCGTGCACAGTGGGCGCACTCTTGTGCACGACTGCGTTGAAGCCATTGTGATCATCGGCGGTATACTCCACGGTGCGCACTGAGCCATCAGGCTCCACCAGGGAGTAGGAGCCCTTGACAACATCTCCGTCGCGCACCTCATGCTGGGACTTGACATCGCCGGTATGGGCGTCAGAGACGCCATAGTTGTAGTGGTACTTGGGATAGGCCTGCCAAGAGACAAAGAGAGAGAGAGAGAGAGAGAGAGGGAAGATTCTGCGTCAGCTAAGCACGAATACAAGATGCACGCGATGCCAATTGGCCAATATGCTAATTGGCTAATGGACAATCGTGAGAAAACGCGCACTAAATGCCAGCATGACATATGACCCTGGCACACACAGCATTAATTACAGCTGCTGCACTGCACTTACGTGATAATCCAGACCCTCATCGTGGTGGCCATGGGCAGCATAGCCCAGAGCAGGAGCGGCGGCATAGACAGCGGGCCCGCTGTGCAGGACACCGGCGGAGGCGATGCTCACTAGAGCCAAGCACATCAGAGACTGTCACCAAAATAGAGCACAATTAGTACAATACAGACACACGGGACACAGTACTGCTGGCTGGCACTGTAGGTAGCCACAGTAGGCACTCACTTTGAAGAAAGCCATTTGGAGGATTTGGAGTTGGGCTTGGCGGTGTGCTTTATTTCCTGGTTAGCGGCGCGTGTGTGCGATACGTTGAGCGTAATTCAACTGATAACTAGAACCCAGAAGACAGTCTCTTTTATATCCAAAGACAACGCCCGAGCGATCAAGCCAAAAGCCACACGATTACCCCCGAGCTGAACGAGCGAGCTCAACGAACGACTGGTCGACGGCGGCGGCGGCGTTGGCTGAAACAATTGCCATTTGCAAGTAAAGCTTAAGAAGTTGCAACAGCATTAACAACAAACACAGCAACAGCAGCAGCAACAACAACAACAACAACATTAACGACAATAGCGCCGGCAGCAAAAAGCGACGTCAACGCCGACGCTGACTGTGAAAACGAGAGTGAAGTTCAGTCAGACGTCAGTAAATGGACTGTGCATTGTTGTTGCTGCTGCTGCTATTGTTGTTGTTGTTGTTGTTGTTGTTGCTACTGCTGCTGCTGATATTGTGGTTTGCGTCTTGGCTTTGCTCTGCATTGCACATTAATGAACATTTGTTGGTAAATGTGAGTCAAAGTTAACTCTTTGAAATATTTGGAATTTGATTATAATTATGTTTGATGAATAAATTATCATAATTTAAAATTTTTTTTTTTTTTATTGATTAATAAGTGTATTTTTCTCAAATACATGCATACATACATATATGAATGTAATAAATATTACTATTATACATATTATATGTGTATTTGTGCATATAATGATGCCTAAATATAAAACCTATAAGATTATATGTACATATAGCACATATCATGTAATCTTATTGAGAATGAATAAATTTTTCTATATATGAACTAAATCCAATAAGTTAAAGAGGGTTTGCAAAAGAATAGCCATACCTGCACTCATGTATGTATACGTATTATATGATATATATAGGTTTATAAGTTGATATAATTATCTATAAATTGTTAAGATATTCACTAAACAACTTGATTATGTTATTATTGTTGGATGATAAAGTGTTTCAGCTAATTGAATTTTATACAATAAACTTAAAGCCTCGACCACGTTAAATTTAATAACGAAACATGCATTATTCATATATAAATACTTTATCTCAACAAATCAAAATATTTTATATTGTAAATCAGGCAATGTGATATAATTACTTTGGCCTCTCCCTAGCAAAAATTTCAAATAAAATAGAAACACGATGCAAAAAATATGTATATATGTATTTATAAAAAATATATTTATACATTTTTTTTTAGCTTGTAACGTACAAATATTGTATACATATATGTATATTTGTTAATAAATTGAATGAAGCAATGGGAACTAAACATTGTCTGGTGGGCGGAGGTGTTGCCTCTCATAGTGTAACGTAGATTGCATGCGCTCATTGTTATTGTTGTTGTTGTTGTTGTTGCTGTCTATGCTGGCATTGCATACTTCGTGTTCTTGTGCTTCATCTGCTGCCACGCCCCTCGACTGGTCGCCTTCTCCTCTATGCCACCTGATCGAGCTCCTCTACAGCCGCAGCAGCAGCAGCAGCAGCAACAGCTCACATGATTCATTTAAGCTTGTGGCATACTCCGCGTACTTTTGATTACCATGTAGGTCGTTCGGCTTATTAAACAAAAAAATGCTTGCGCAAAAGAGCCAGCGAATGTAGGTGGTACGCAATAAAGGAGGAGGAGACTGAGAGACCTCATGCGACGAGTGTGTGGCCAGGGGTCAGTTTACCGCATTTCATAGTGTGTGACACTTTTGGTTGTTGTCGCTCTGCTTTGCTTATTTAATTAATTGTCTTGAATTAGTAGCTCCAGCTGTGACTCTGACTTTGGCATCAAATCAAGCGGCAGCCGACAAGCAGGGGGACAGGCAGGGGCTCTGCTCTGCATGGCTGGCCAGCGTGAACTTACAAAATTGTAGCAATCGATTCAAGGTTAGCACGACGACAACGTGCAACGGCTCACTAACTGTCGCTACAACAATTACTTGCAATCGCAGTTGTAGATCTCATTGGATTTTCAGAGCTGAACAGATTTGTAACAGTTTGCTTACCATTTTTATTATTATAGCCAACTCTAGTTGTGCCATAGAAAATCCACTCTGATCATCTCTAGTTTTCCTTGTTTTGAAGTTGACAATGTATTAAGTACGAGTTTTGATGTTGGAGATGCAATGAGTCAGTCTATTAGTCAATAACTCTGTTACTCCATCATGACTTGAGGTATAAAGATAAAGGTTATAGAGGCTGGTATGAAATGAGTTGCAGAGAATCTTGAGTATAAGTATGTAGAATTAAAGAAAAATGGGTCCTCAAATGAGTTACAGAGAATCATCTGCATAAATTAATGATATAATAAAATCGTTGGGCTAAAATAGAAAATCTGAATGAGTCCACCATGACTTACGGTATAAAGATAAAGACCATAGACCCTGGTACGAAATGAGTTGCAGAGAAACTTGAATGGAAGTATAAGTATGGAGGTTTAAAGAAAATTAGGTCTTCAAATGTGTTATAGAGAAGATATACATAGTACAAAGTTTGTATGTCTGTAGTTTTAATCGTAATTATATGGTACTCAATAGCGATGCTACGTGAAGTTCTTTATCAGAGTAAAAGCTTTGCAATTGATCTTTGCCTGAGTAATTTTAATAATTCATTATATTAATAATTTAAGTTTCATATCTAATTGATTGAAAAATACCTTAATAATAATAAAATGTAATTGCATTTTGCAGTTTCTTCTTTTATGCACTAGACCTCACCAATTCATTGATTGATATGTGAAATTAAAGAAATCGAATTAACTCTAGACAAGTCTTACTTGATTTTAGATTTTCATTGAGCAACATATTTCCAGTGAATCATATCAGCAGATCATCTCAACTTCTTGTTTATATTGCTGCACAAATCTGGCTTTACAACCACTGTGCCTGTGGCTGTGCCTGTGGACAGTGTGCTGTGTGGAGGCAAAACGCCCAGAAAACGAGAGCACGATGACAATTACAAGCGTGTTTATTGTTGTTGCCGTTGCGCTCGTTGCTATTAGAGTTTTGCCATATTTTGCGCTTAGTTTTCATATAATTATACGGGCCATGCAGCAATTGCTTACGTCTTGTTTTGCATTAGATCCGGCCTAGAAGTCCAGAAGCAACGAGGCAGCATAGCTGCAATCCGATTCATGGAAACGAGCAAGCATGAACCAACCAAATCGACTCTCTCGAGATGTTGGATGCCGTCTACGATTGGGTTTTGGCCGTTATGGCTGCGACTGGCAGCTTGAAACGCGAGCATATTTCTAGTTGCGGGTGCTTGACTCTAGCAATTGTTGACTTATCTTGTGCGATTGTGCGGCAGTCGCAGCCAGGTGAGTCGGCTACCTGGCGGCTCGTAATCTCCATAAACTTACCATCAGACTTCAAGTTGATGCTGAGTGCTCGTAAAATTTGTTGCAATTAAAGCAATTTGTGTGCGTTGCTCGCTGTATTGTTGTTGTTGTTGTTGTTGTCGCTGCTGTTGATTGAGTGGCAAATTTGTTGTCCGTTGTTTTGTAATATATGCAAGCTCGTTGTCTGTCCGCGAAAAAGTAATAGTATATGGTTTGAGCAATTGTATCAGATCACTCGGGTCGTCATATTAGCCAAGATATGAATTAAAATAATTGTGTGGAAATTATAATAAGCAGCTTATCGAGCCAAATCATTTTCAACTCAACAATTGTAGCTCTACGTATTACCGTGCACAAAAGAACTGCATTTGAAAAATAAAATTATTAATTTGTGTACTGCGCTGCGACCTTGAACTGCGGCTGCGAATGGAAATGTGTAAATCGATGAATTCAAATACCACAAAGATTGACCAAAAGAGCATGAAAAAATCATTCATAAAAGCGCCGACGAGATAATGAATAATCGGCTTTAAAGGTGTTTCACGAAAATGCAGGTCATTATCAAAGTGAATTGTGTGTGTGCGAGTGTGTGTGGAATTTCTATCGAATTTCAAAATCTATGTACTTTATCTGATTATATGTTTAAATTTAAGAGACTTTCTAGCCAGTCGAAAGACTTAAGAATGTTTCTTATGATAAATATGTTTATAATGAATCTGTAAGCTCCGAATATAGAATATATATATATACTATATATATAGTCACTCAATAATGTATTATAAAATAAATTGAATACTAGAGATTTTCCACATATTACGTCCAATAAATTTGATAAAATGTATGTAAATTTATGTCAAGTCGTAAGTTTCTTAAGAAAACTCCTCAATTCAAAGCATTGAACAGCAAACTGCATTCGCTCAAAGGTCAAACTTCAAGAGCTACACAATGTTTCATTGTTATTGACAGCTTTTCTTCCCGCCCAGCACTCAATAGCAAATTGAAATTTCGTTGGCTTTTCTGACAGCTTAATGTCAAAGTCAACGCAGCTGTGGGCGTGGCTGATCGGCCGTTCAATTAGATAGGGCGCACAGAAAAGGCTTGGATAGTATAATGTAATCTATGCAATTGTGTCGAATAGTCGATCACGACGGCCTTGTGTGACTGTTGGGCCAATGGAGTGGGAGTCGAGGGGAGAAGGGAGCGCATTGTGCTGCGGCACAGCAGCTGGAGCAAACGTTCAAATTTCCATGACCATAGCGAGTCGAGCTCCGAAAGTGAAACCGACCCATTGCCTTACGAATCGGGGAGACTTACAATTTGTGTTTTGTAGCTTTGCATTTTAGTTGCTTTTCGCAATGCTGCACGCCCAGCGACCCGGCCAGTGGGCGTGGCAGCTGAGCCAACTTTACAACATTTCCGTTTTTTTTTTTTTTTTAAGTTTGCCGTATCGAATTCGCTTCTAATAATTGTTGGCATTATCATTGTTCGTGCTCATTGTTCTAGTTTTTGGTAAAGGCTGCTTGGCTGGCTGATTTATTGGCTCCAGTTATTGTCTAGTCCATTGTTGGGCCTGCATGTCGATCTGTTGTTGATTGCTTAGCGCATTGTCTCGACTCCGAAGGCTGGCCATGTCCAGCTGTCCAGCTTTTAAAAGCCGCCGCAGTCGAATGTCGAATTTTAATTTTTCATTACAT